GAAAATTCCAGGCCTGAAAAGAATGTTTGCATGGGAGGAGGCATGTTGCTACAGAGAGGAAGGAAAATAAAATCAGGTCCTTGCTTTTGCATCTCACTGAGTAGACAATATACACACTAAATATGCAACCCAAATGGTTTCCAGACGAAAGCAAAGTACAGGTGTGTGGGCTTCTGGTTTGTTTGTTTGTGTTTGTTTTTGTTTTACAGTTTTAAAGTTGAAACAAAAGGTGGATAAGTGGATCTGTGTGCAAGGATATGTTTTTATTTGTTTGTTTGTGTGTGTCTGTGTGTGTGTGTGTGTGTGTGTAAATGGTTGTCCCTAGAGAAGGAACTGAAAAAGGTTGCTATGAATTTTGTTTTTTATATTAACAATATATTTTCTTTTTTCTCTTTTCTTTTTCTTATTTTCTCTTTTATGTTTTATTCACTTTATATCCCAATTGTAGCTCCCTCCCTCATCTTCCCCTGGTCCCACCCTCTTCCCCTATACCTTCCCATAGTCTACAGAAATGGGAGATTTTTCTCCCCTACCATCTAACCCTAGCCTATCAAGTCTTATCAGGACTACCTGGATCCTCTTCCTCTATGGCCTGGCAAGTTCACCCCACCAGGGAGAAGTGATCAAAGAACAGGCAACCAAGTCCATGTCAAAGATAACTCCTGCTCCCCTTACTAGGGAATCCACAGAAAGACTGAGCTGCCATGGGCTACATCTAGGCAGGAGGTCTAGGTCCTTGCATGCATGGTCCTTGGTTGGTGCATCAGTCTCTGCAGTCCTCCATGGGCTCAAATTTGGTGGCTTTGTTGGTCTACGGTAGACTATTGTCCTGTTTCCTCTCTTCCACTTCTTCCAGTGTCTCTCCTGTTTGCCCTCCTGAATGAGAATTAAGCATCCTCCCTAGGGTCCTCCTTGTTATTCAGCTTCTTTAGGTCTGTGGATTTTAGTATTTTATGCCTAATATCCGCTTGCAAATGAGTATATACCATGTGTGTCTTTCTGCTTCACTCAGGATGATCTTGAGTAAGGTAACCCAGAAGCAGAAATTTGTTTTTAAAATTTATTTATTGTTTTATTAATTACAATTTATTCACTTTATATCCCAGCTGTAGCCCCCTCTCTTGTCTCCTCCCAATCCTACCCTTTCTCCCTCTTCTCCTCCCATGCCTCTACCCCAGTCCACTGATAGGGGAGGTCCTCTTCCACTTCCATCTGAGCCTAGTCTATCAGGTCTCATCAGGACTGGCTGCATTGTCTTCCTCTGTGGCCTGGTAAGGCTGCACACACCCCCTCAGGAGGAGGAAATGAAAGAGCAAGCCATTTCACTGACATGAACACTCTGAGTTCATGTCAGAGACAGTCCCTGTTGCCATTACGAGGGAACACACTTGGACACTGAGCTACCATGGGCTACATCTAAGCAGGGTTTCTAGGTTATCTCCATGCATGGTCCTTGGTTGGAGTATAAATCTCAGAAAAGATCACAAGCTTCTGTCCCCTCCAGATCTTTCTATCCCCCCCCCCTTGTTTCATAAGATTCCCTGCACTCTGCCCAAAGTTTGGCTATGAGTCTCAGCCTCTGCTTTGATACCCTTCAGGGTAGAATCTTTCAGAGGCCCTCTGTGCAGGAGCCTACCCCAGAAATTTATTTTTAACACAGGTTGGTTTTGGAAGCAAGAGAGAGCCTGATTTTATTCTGGAGCTGGTCTCTATCTGTACTGCCCTGATAAGTAAGGACATGTGATCATCCTAGCATTAGGGTCAGGAGTAAAACTGTTGTTTTACTCTCTAGCATGAATTGAGACATTGTTCCTACCTTTAGACATTTTTAGTTATTTTGTGTGCCTGTATGTGTGAGGTTGGCACGTGTATAGACAGGTCAGAAGACAATGTTCAGTAGTCAGTTTTCTCCTTCCACCATGTGGGTCCTGAGAACTGAACTCAGGCCATTTGGCTTGGTGACAGGCACTCTTATTTACTGAACCATCCCACCAGTCCCTCACCCCTTTTAAAAGTAAAAACAGTGAATAAATGTTCAATTTGTGGCAGATGGGGAGATGGCTCAGAGGTTAAGAGCACTGGCTGCTCTCCTAAAGGTCCTGAGTTCAGTTCCCAGCAACCACATAGGGGCTCACACTATCTGTAATGAGATCTGGTGCCTCTTCTGGCATGCAGGCACATGTGCAGGCAGAACACTGTATACTCAATAAATAAATCTTTTTTTTTTTAATGTTCAAATTTTAGTGAAATTAAAAGGTTAGAATACTAATGTTTAATCATTATTTCCTTTTCTTTCATCAATGACATTGATGTTAAAATTGAAGCTAAGGGCTGACAATCTTAGTTAATTCACTCGGTAACAGTGCTAATTGGTCAAACCACACTACAGCGAAACTGTGTGGCTTGAGTGGTGTCAGGTTGTTTATGTGCCAAACATACTGGTGAGCTCCGGTACACTTACTGTTTCTTCAAGAGGCCCCAGAGAAGGACTTGTTGCTCCCTCCTACCCCATCTTTCTGGATCCAGTAAAAACTCTCAAGAGTACTGCTGAATCAGACACACACATCATAACTCTCTGTGTATTTCACAACTGGGTTTGTTGGGAGACACGTTTATGTAAATAACTTCAATTTTTGATCGATCTGGAAAAGACAATGTTATGAATTACAAACAATGACGATGGCAGAAAATCAGAGCATAGGAGTTACATTCAATGCTCGATCCATCTTGTTTATATCGCTTGTTTGAAGCTGAGAAACAAACCTAAGGCCTTATGTTTGGTAAGCAAGTACTTTACCACTGAGCTATACACCTAACCACTTGCGTGAGCCCATTCAATCCTCATCAAGACAAGAACCCAGTGAAAAATGGAATTCCAGTTCTGATCCCAGAGATGAAGAAAGCAGACGCGGAAAAGTCAGTAACTTGCTAGGTGCTATGCTACGTGGTAAAGTCAAGGCTTGAGCTGCAGTCAATAACTCTGCAGGGTCTCCTGGGTCTGGATTAGCAGCCAAGACTACAGTTTCCACTCTACGTCCACAACTTCCATGGTTTCAGAACTAAAAATAAGGCCTGGTGTTTGACCATGGCCACGGGTATTTCAAGGGTTTTCCCCTGTGATGAGCAAGATAGTGCAGCAGAGCAGTGCTATTTCCCAGCAGCGCAGCAAGCAAGGCAAACAGATGATTACTAAGCTCTCTTCTTTACACAAAAACAGGAAGTCCTCTGATGTGCTAGTGCTCCCTAGCTTTATACACCGCCTGTCCTGTGCACTCATTTAATTTGTCTAAGAGCAGCACCTACACATTTGCATGGAGGAGATAAGAAAACTCATTAATATTCCCTGCCACCTGGCTCGCAAGCCTAGGTTTTTAATCTTTACTATTCCACCTTGTCTTATAAACCTAAAAGAAATTATACATAAAGAATACAAATTATAATGCTCTAGGAGAAGCGGAGGATCAAAAAAAAAAAAAAAAAAAAAAAAAAAAAAAAAAAAAACCTCTCAGAAAGTTCCTTCAAAGCAGAGAGAAAATTCTGTGTGTGTACCCTTGTGTGTTAATGCATGCATGTGTATGTGCATGTGCCTGTATGTGTAGATTCGTGCATGCGTGTGTGCATGTGTTCATGTGTGTGTGTGTTTGAGCATGCTTGTGTGTGCCCATGCTGAGCACCACCTCTAACACTGAGCTACGTCTTCTGTGTAGTATTTTGTACTTTTTCTCTGTAAAGTCTCAGAATCCTGTGCTGATGTACCTGGAGGTTCTTCCTGCTCTGTTTTGTTTTGTTTTGAAGCAGGATCTCATGTAGCCTAGGCTTGTCTCAAACTTGTTGTGTAGCCAAGAATGACCTTAACGTTCAAAAACTTCTGATCATCCTGTCTCTGCCTCCTAAATGCTGGTGTTACAGAGGGTCCCACCACACCTGGTTTCCTGAGTGCTGAGCACCTGAGCCAGAGCTTCATGTTTGCTAGGCAGGTCTCTCTCTCCCTCCCTTTCTCTCTCCCTCTCTCTCTAAATGAGCCACATGCCCAGCCTCAAATGCCTAATTTTTAAAAGAAGGAGCAAACACACTACTAATCCTTCCAGGTTCAACTGGACATTAACAAATTCAACATCAACAAAGAAAGGCCAATATCTGCCATCTTTGTTGCATAATTTCCTAATTCTTGTGAGGAGGGCTGGTGAGGCAGGACCTCAGAGGACTGACAAAAGTCATTGTGGAAGAGCAAGACTGAGAGAAAGATCTGGAAATGAGACTTCCTAGCCAGCCTCTGCTGCGGGCCTACTGCCCTCTATATTCTGACCTGTGCCTCTACCTCATGGCCTGTTAGTCTGCACACAGTCAAACCGTAGCATTCTGTACTTTTAAATAATAAGGGAACCTTGTTCTGATATTTTTAGAAGGGCTGGGATGTTCTGCAACACCTCCCTAACAGCAAACACACCTTCAATGCAACAGGAACAGGAAAGCTCTCGTCAGCCACAGCGATGCTAAGCATCGCTTTGCTGGGTAAAAGCATGTAGCCTGAATACACAGGGTCTGCTTTCGTTTTGAAGTCCGGTTTCCACATGAGTCTTAGTAGTAAAATGTTGGAGAAATCATTTGTGAGCCACTTCCACATGTTTTCAAATGAAGCAAATAATAATAATGATGAGGTAGAGAACTGCAGAGCCAGAGTGAAGCCAGTAAGAGCTAGGCAGACTGAGAGGACAGAGAAACGTTTTCAAGATAAACGAGCCAGTCTCTGCATGACAAACAACAGAAGTTTAAGCCCAGTAAAGTTTAAGCCCTCCCTTTTCAAGAAACCCTCACAACTTATTTTGCCATAGAGGAACTTAAATGTTACAAAAGCTGGTCAACCAATCAGCAGAATGCCGGCACCCAGCGGCACCTCAGCACCCTGGCCACAGATCAGGAAGCCCTTGAAGGTATAGTATTTTAAATCGCATCTAAGATTTCTGGATCTCAGCTGGGTTTTGTTCTCTTGTGCTTTGTAGGATGGAAAAACAGATGTGAAGTCCCTCATGGCGAAGTTCAACACGGGAAGTAACCCTGCAGAGGAGGCATCCGCCAACAGCAGGCCCTTCAAAGTTACGGGACAAAACTCGCCTTCTGGAGTACAATCAAGAAAGAATTTATTTGATAACCAAGGAAATGCCAGCCCTCCCGCAGGACCCAGCAACATGCCTAAATTTGGGACCACAAAACCACCCTTGGCAGTGAAACCTACCTATGAGGAGAAGTCTGACAAGGAGCCCAAACCCCCATTTTTAAAACCTACTGGAGTGAACCAAAGATTTGGAACACAGCCAAACTCGGTTTCTAGAGACCCTGAGGTCAAAGTGGGGTTTCTGAAACCTGTAAGCCCCAAACCCACCAACTTGACCAAAGAAGATACCAAACCTGTGGTTTTACGGCCTCCTGGGAATAAGCTTCACAATTTGAACCAAGAGTCTGATTTAAAGACGCCAGGACCAAAGCCAGGGCCTACTCCCCCAGTCCCAGAAAATGATCTGAAGCCAGGGCTCTCAAAGGTGGCTGGAGTTAAGAGCAAGTTCACAGCAGCGGCACAAGATGCTGACTCCAAACCCCGATTTCCCAGACACGCCTTTGGCCAGAAGCCATCCCTAAGTACAGAGGACTCGCAGGAAGAGGAGGGCATCTCTAAGAATGCACCTGTCCAGAAAGGATCTCCAGTGCCACTAGGGGTCAAGTCCAAGGGCGGCCCTTTGAAACCAGCTAGGGAAGACCCAGAGAATAAAGACCACGGAACATCAAGTTCACCCTTTCCTGGAGTGGTACTGAAACCTGCTGCGAGCAGAGGGAGCCCAGGGCTCTCCAAAACCTCTGAAGAAAAAAATGAAGAGAGGAAAACAGATGTCACAAAGAACATCTTTCTGAACAAAATTAATCAGGAAGAGTCGGCCAGATTCCCTAAGGCCCCTTCCAAGCTGACAGCGGGGACACCATGGGGACAAAACCAGGAGAAGGAAAAAGGAGACAAGAATTCAGCAACCCCAAAGCAGAAGCCGCTGCCTCCGCTGTCCGTCCTGGGCCCGCCTCCAGCCAAGCCGAGCAGACCACCCAACGTTGACCTGAGCAGATTCCGAAAAGCTGACTCTGCAAACAGTGAGTTGTTTCTCATTGCTGGTAACTGTGGTTTGCCCACGGCACAGTGTTTCAGCTTCTGAGGGAAAATTTAGAGCAAGGAATGGTTGCGTAACTGACACTCATGTGAGTATAGGGTCAATTTTCCTTTGGCATTTTTTTTTCCCTTTTGTGTAGAGGAGGGCTGAAAAAGTAGAAACTCTCAAGTTCTCTGAGAATGTGCCTTGGGAGGAAGGGTACTGACTTGTTAGAGGGACAATGGAAAGAAATTCAGGCGTTTTACTGATGATTGGTTTTGCCTAAGGGTAACCATTGCGTTTCCTCCCTTGGTTATGTTTCATTTCTGTCGACTGAGGGAGATGTGCATCAACAGCCAGTGAGAGAAGTGAGCAGATGTCTAAATGAGTATTCTAGAATTGATCAAATTTGGTCAATTCTAAAGCCGGTGGGCATTGCTGGGAGATGTGTTTAATTGCCAGAGCGGATGATGCTGACATTTTGTAGATAGAGCCTCCTACAACACAATAGCAGGCCCCCACCCTTCACAGAATGATCCAGGCCAAAATGTCAAGGCCGCAAAGTTGGAAACCCTCTTCTGAATCACTGCAAATATCTACGCTATTTATCATGTTCCCTAAAAAGCCCAAGATTCAAGTAGGAGAGTAACAGGGATTTTAGGAGACAGGACTTCATATTTTGTATTTTAAGTGTTTTTTTTAATTTCCCAATACAAAAATGTCTGTACTATTCCAGTTTATAAAGTAGTACAAAGCTAGAAAATTAAGGCAGACCAAGGATGCTTTTTTTGTCCCTCCAGAAGACAAGTCTGGTTTTCTTCCCAAGGTGTCATTGCAATATTTACGGCACGTTGTAGAATTTGGTACTGAATATCTCGGCAAAGACTTGTCACCCTGTGTCATGATGAGAAAAGTTCACTTATGCCTGTGGTGATTAATATCCTAGCAAGTGGTGTGCAACAGTTATCGATTGTAAGATGGAAAAAGAGTGACACTTACAGGGCACCATAGCACTCCAAGTCCTGTGTGTCTCCAAATAGAGCTATTGTCTAAAGCAGTTTTCAGCCTTCCCAATGCTGCAAACTTCTAGTGCACTTCCACATGTTGTGGTGACGCCAACCATAAAATTATTTTCATTGCTACTTCAGAACTGTAATTTAACTGCTGTTATGGATTGTAGTGTGAATATTGGTGTTTTCTGATGGTCTTAGGTGACCCCTGCAAAAGGTCAACCCACTGGTCTAAATTTATATTTGACGGTGCAAGCCTGTTGCTCAGGACTTGGCAGGTGGAAGGAGGAAGAACAGAAGTTCAGTGTCTTGGGACTACCTTAGAGAGTTTTGAAGCTAGCCTAGACTACTCCATCTTAAAAATAAAAAAACAAAACAAATGTGTGTGTGTGTGTGTGTGTGTGTGTGTGTGTGTGTGTGTGTCTGATTAAAGCAGCTTTAGGCATAACCTCTCTGAAAGGTCTTCCCACAGACTCCCTCTGCCTAGTAGAAAGATAAGAGAGAGAAGGAGGTAACGTCTAAGTGGCACAGGGTTGTCATTAACCCCCAAATTGTGCTACCTGCTCCAGACCAAGGCCAAGAGAAGCCATCAAATTCTGCTAGAGGTGGAGAAAGATCACAGATAGGCTCCCATGGCTGTTATTTCAACACTGGCCTCATCAAGGGCAGTTTGTCTACAGAAAGTATTCACCTTCTTGATTAACTAAAATTCACCCATTTTGATGTGTGTTCTCCAACTCAGAATGGCAGCTTGCAGGGAAATGTCTAGACATCTTCTACGGCTACCTAGGTTTTCTGGGTTCTTTTTCGCTAGCTCTGACAAATGCCAGTAATAAACATGTCTGGCTAGACATGAAATTCATACACTGAAGGGTATTGAGATAAATTATTTGTGGCCTGTACAATTCAGAACATTAGTCATTCATTTGCAATAAGGTGGGAAAGAAAAAAGATTGTATGCTTCGGAAAAAATTAGGTTTAGAGATAGATGTTCATAAACCGTGATTTTTCAGTCTTCTAAAATGTAAAAATACTGACTAGAGTGAAATGCTTTGCAGTGAATGTAAAGGCTTACTCTAAGCAGACTATTTTTTATTGTTGCTAAAAGTAATTACAATAGTGTCCAAATGAACAACAGTCTATGTAATTGTTCTGTTGGCTTTCAAACCTCCAATACTCTTTTCTGCCTCACTACCTCTTTTCCATTTCATACTTAGATAAATTGTTATCATTTAGAGAGGCCTTTTTATATAACATTAAACAACCCTACTGTACTTTTTCCAAGCAAAGAAATGGAATTCTATCTCAGCACATTTAGTGAATTTACCCAGGCCAGGACTGGTCCTCATGTCTCTCAGATTCCAGAGGCTGTGTTCCCATTCCTGCTCCAGCCACTATGCTGGCTGCCTTTCATGAAACATAGGACTCCTTGCAATGATGAAACAAGCACAATGATACCTGAGACTCCACATTTTATATTTTATTCTGTCTTTTGGTGATAATATGTCTTTTAAAAAATTATTATAAGCCGGTCATGGTGGCACACGCCTATAATCGCAGCACCCAGGGAAGCAGAGGCAAGCAGATCTCTGTGAATTTGAAGGCAGCTTGGTCTAAAAAGGTGAGACCAGGAAAGCCAAGGCTACAGAAAGAAATCCTGTCTGGAAATGTGTGTGTGTGTGTGTGTGTGTGTGTGTGTGTGTGTGTGTGTGTATTATACAGATCACTTTGAGCTCCATTAAAGCAGAAAGCAATTTGTTTACCATTATTCTCTCATTTGTGGAATAGGAAAAATGTGAATTTCCACCACTTTCCTAGTTTGTTTTCCCACAAAGGTGTGTTAGTAAGAAATTAAGAAGTTAGTTGCCCCCATCCATACTCAGTGTTAATATAATGCTTCCCATAGTTAACTAGTTACTTTAACAGATTGGAAGCACGTTCAATTTAATGGAGCTTTGACACAAAATGAATTTTACACAAAGCACACACCCTGAAGAGATCTTTTCAGGGTCTCACCTATAAGCTGTAAGCATGCTGTATCACATTGCTTTCTGAATGTGGAGCTAATAATGCTTTTGGTTCCCCCACCACAAGAACCATTTAGGATTTAAAAAGCCTAAACTTATTTTTTTTAATGAAACATCAAAATGTTCTCTAAACTCACCTTTCTTTTGACTCCCTTAAAAGACATTCCCAAGTTTCTGGTACTATTCACCATAATGTCTGGGTTCTTTGAGCACCCCTCCAGACCCAGCTGTTGATTTGTATGTAGGAGGTAATGAAAACCTACTAGAAAAAAAAAATGATTCAAACCTTTCTTGTCTTGTTCTTAACACTAGAAACACGAATTGTTCTACATGTTAACTATGGAAATAATAAGTTAGCCACAGTAACAGTTAAAGGAATGAATCTAGGGCCAATACTAAACAGTAGCACACCCCTTTCTCATTAGTACATTTGCTCCTTCAGCTAATCCATCTGACAGGAACCTGACATCAAGAAGAGTTGAGCCAGGGCATGGAGAGATAGTTCAGAGGTTAAGAATACTTATTGTTCTTGCAGAGGACCTGGGTTTGCTTCCCAGCACTTATTTGTCAGCTCACAGCCATCTCTTACTCCAGTTCTCAGGGAATCCTACTCCCTCTTATGAGTTCCACGGGCACCAGCATGCATGTGGTTACACAGACAAACACGCAGGTAAAACACTCATGCACATAAAATAAAATAAATAAGCCTTTAAAAAAAACCTTAGGAAGAGCTTGGGCTGTGGCTGGGACAGAGTTCATCTGGAAAGCTTCCACTTCGTACCCTCAGGGGAAAGCAAAGGATCATAGGCTATGTCAGTAGTAGGTGGTCTGTTTCTAGGCAGGGATGAGACTTTCTTCACAGACCCCAGACCTATCACTGCCTCCTTCCGACCTGTCATTATCCTTTTACATCTACTTTATAGGTTTTTTTATGTACTGAAAATGCTTTCTCTTGGTGTATAGAAGCATCCCCCCACCTTGTTGCTGCAGGCCATTTTAGGAACAGGTATCCAAGGCTCAGATGCATCTTAAAGATTTAAGGTAAATGGTCTTCCGAGTTTCTATATGGTTAGCAATAGCGCTGTACACTTGGAAGTTAAGAATGAGGTTTATCAAGAGTAGGTTGGGAACAAGCAAAAGAAACTTATTCTGAGTACCATTTCAGATCCATTTAATATAGGGGGAGACTAAGCTCAAGGTCCCAGGCCTAAGGGGAGCTGGGGACTTCCCAATAGCTGAACAGCTTCTGTTGTAAGGAAACAGTTGTCTGAGTCCAGCTATCTCAGGGACAACTTGTAAAGAGACAATTGTCTGAGTCCAGCCATTTTAAGGACAACTCCTCCATCTTGCTGGCAGAGTCAACTAAGTTCATGTGCCCAGGCCCAGGATCCTACTCCTATCCTGATTGATGGAAACTCCCTAGCTCAAGTCCTTATGTGTGTCAAAATATGATTGTATAATGCTGTAGCCCATCCCTCACCCCTTTGCTTTATGGCTTCATCCTTTAAATATGCTGTTCAGCATCCTTTTGGGATCACAGTTCAGCTTCAGAGTCTGTTCTGCAGCCCTGATGAATCAATAGCAACTTGATTACAATAAATTTTTGATGCCTGCATTGACCTGATGTTTGAGTCATATTGGATTTAAGTGGACCCCACAATAGTCCAAAGATGTCTCATTGGAATACCTGGGACACTAAATCCACAGGCAGGGCCCTGAAGTGTACAGATGAGTCAGAACTTACTTCACTGTGTGGTTCGGCCTAAGGAGGCAATGAGGCCTTCACCAAGTTGTGCTAGGCTCTCACTCTCTGGGTTTCTGTGTACTTTGAGACTGGAGCCCAGTCTTAATTTCAATTCTCTTACCCTTCTTGGTTCTGGGAAATCTGTTTTTGAAAAGATCTCCGGTCCTCCTTTCTATTTCAGGTTGCAACCCCTGAGGAACCACTCACTATTAACCCGTCAATC